GTTTGTGACTTTTTGGGATAATGAGTACAAATTGGAGTTGTTAAGCGAAAGTAATTAAATGTTGGAATGTTAACAATGTTAATTATTGCAATAAGACACAGTAGGTCAAAATAGAAAACTTTTTGGAAAAAATCTAGAACTGACGTAGAACTAAACTAGAATTGAATTAGAACTGAACTAGAATTGAACTAGAACTGAACTAGAACTGAACTAGAACTGAAACTAGAACTGAACTAGAACTGAACTAGAACTGAACTAGAACTGAACTAGAACTGAACTAGAACTGAACTAGAACTGAACTAGAACTGAACTAGAACAGAACTAGAACTGAACTAGAACTGAACTAGAACTGAACTAGAACTGAACTAGAACTGAACTAGAACTGAACTAGAACTGAACTAGAACTGAACTAGAACTGAACTAGAACTGAACTAGAACTGAACTAGAACTGAACTAGAACTGAACTAGAACTGAACTAGAACTGAACTAGAACTGAACTAGAACTGAACTAGAACTGAACTAGAACTGAACTAGAACTGGAACTAGAACTGAACTAGAACTGAACTAGAACTGAACTAGAACTGAACTAGAACTGAACTAGAACTGAACTAGAACTGAACTAGAACTGAACTAGAACTGAACTAGAACTGAACTAGAACTGAACTAGAACTGAACTAGAACTGAACTAGAACTGAACTATAACTGAACTATAACTGAACTATAACTGAACTAGAACTGAACTAGAACTGAACTATAACTGAACTAGAACTGAACCAGAACTGAACTAGAACTGAAATAGAAGTGAATTAGAACTGAACTAGAAGTGTATTAGAACTAAACTAGAACTAAACTAAAACTGAACAAGAACCGAACTAGAACTGACCTATAACTCGAATAACTTTTCAAATATGTAAAACAAACTGAATTTTTTCTTTTGTTGTAATTAACACTTAAATTTTATTCAAATAAATTTGTACTTTGTAAAATTTACAAACTCTTGGCAGTCTTTTCAATCCAGCTGCGGACAGTAGCAACATCGCAGTAGTATACACCGGGATAGCCAGCAAGGGCACAACCTTTACCCCAGGAAACAACACCGACCAATTTGTTGTTGGCAACCAAAGGACCACCAGAATCACCTTGGCAAGCATCCTTCTTAACAGCATAAGCACACAACATAGTTTCCTTGATGTCATCACCATATTTGTATTCGCTGGAAGCGCAGGTCTTCTCATCAACAATATCGACCTCAACCTTTTGCAAAACTTTAGGGGCAGTTTGGCAGAACAAGAAGCACTTAGAACCCCAACCAGTAACGACAGCTGTGGTGCCAGTAGCAGGTGTCTTCTCAGCCAATTTAACATAACGTACCTTGGAAGATTCACGCACTGGAGTGGCCAATTTGATAACGGCAACATCATTAACCATGGTTTCGGGATTATAACCTTCGTGGTATTTGAAAGACTTGACGGCAACCAATTCACCACCATTATCGTATTCAGTGGAACCCAAACGTACTTTGAATTGGTAGGCCTTGTAGGATTGCATGCAATGAGCAGCAGTTACAATAATGTCTTCGCTGATGATGGAACCACCGCAGAAATGGAAACCATTGTTGGTTTGCAAAGAAACCTGATAGGGATGGGCCTGAATGGTGGTATCAACACCATTGACAATGCGGCCATCCAAATCATTGGGAATAGCGCCCGCCAAGGCACAACTAACGAAAGCGAATAGAGCTACAAACCGGAACATGTTGTAGAAAAGACTGTATTGATTGTTAAGACCATCAAGGTTTTTATAGGATTTCAACGAAATAAATCACAGAAAAATAATTTATGATTATATTGTTATCAACGTTGGTCTAATACTATAGCCATGTAGTAGGTTCTTAAAGATAAGCTAACTGTTTATTTTTGGCTAAAACTATTAATGTTGTCTATCTTTTACGCTGTATTTCAATTATCTATATATTTTTAAGAAAGATCGAAATCGTTTTGCAAGAAGTTTGTAGTTCTAGTATTTTATTGATAATTTCTTCAGATTATAAAAACTTTGAGAAATTTATCAATGACTACCTATTCACGTTTCTTAAACATAATTTTCAATTAATATATTTGTAAATTGATTATTAAATACTATAACTAATATTATATATAAAATTTTGGCAAAAACTACTATTCTATTTGTTTATTTCAGATAGCAGTTGTAATGAACACATGAACGTATTGCACGGTGACCATTAAAGTATAAATACATATGTATTTTCAAAGTATTTCTTGATAACTAGTAAATTTGCTCGACAATATGGAATAGAGCTATAAGAATCGCATATATGTTTTATTGAAGTATATAAATTAATTATTTACGAAAATCTGGCGCATACCTTAAGGCGGTCAAATTATAAAGTAAATAAAGATAGATTCGGCAGTTCTGAAACTTATATACCCTTCATCATTATAAGTACCTACTTCTTCCATTATACATAAATTATTTTCGACAAATATCAGTGCGAAATGAATCATGGAATACGATAGAGCTACTAACAAACTCAATTGGGAATGTATTAGAAACGAACTAAAAGTACCAGACACCTGTCCGTTTATTTTTTTAATAAACAACGATAAGTATTACATATTTTCGGTATGTATTTTAGTTTAAGAGATATAAGGTTAACGAATTTAACTGTTTTTACCCCCTATATTCGAATTTCTAAAAATACCTTCTTAGTAGATCGAGGATTCAAATTTTAATAAATGTGTAATTGACAAAGATTACTTTGATAAAAGGTTTAAGAGAAAAATAAAATGTAAGTAACTTCAATTTTTTACTCACCTTAATTTTTGTAATTAGCTTTTCTACTACTTTTTACAATATTATAATTTAGTTTAATTATAAACGCGCGAACCGTTTCCCGTTTTATTTACATTTTTTTATAATATGGGCAACTCTACTACGCACTAATATTTACTCTGTAAACAATAACAACACTTGTTGCTATTCTTTTTTTACTATTAAGATTTGGAATTTTTTTCTTATGCTCTTTTTTTAACACATTTCGATGCATTTCACCTCATCCCACCAACAACAAACACACAATTTCTTACAAACAAGACTTTGCATGAACGAAAACAATAACTACGTTTTTTCTTTGCTCTGCTTTTACTATTGAGATTTTTTTACTTCTTTATTTCTCTTGCTCTTTTTTTCTGTGACAAAAATATAAACAACAACACTTTTAATGCATCATCACCTACATTCACACACAAACTCTTGTGTAAAGGGCTTTAGCTTAGAAAAAAACACTAACAACTTAACACCGCTTTGTTGCAAATAACAACAACCACAAGGAAATATTTTGCATATACACACTTTTTTGAGACTTTTTTTTGGCACTGATTTATTTCGCTAAAAACTTTAATTTAACACTTATTTTTTATAATTTTTTACAGCTTTCTTATTAAATAACATTATTATGATAAACATTTTAAGGATTTTATTAATTTACTTCACTTTTTTCGGATTTAATTTACACTTAAACGGACGAAATTTTTTTGCGACTGATTTTCGTAATGACCGCGAGTGAACTAAATTATTTGAGTACTAGTGAGTGTAGAGTTGTCAGTGAAGAAAGGATTGTAGGAGATGAGAGGATTTTGTTAAGGGAAATTTTTTTGTTATTTTTTAAATGAGGAAATTATTAATTACAAATCCATGGGCAATAAAAAAAAGGAATTATTATTATTTGGGATAAAATTTTATATGGTACTGAACTAGAACTGAACTAGAACTAAACTAGAACTGAACTAGAACTGAACTAGAACTGAACTAGAACTGAACTAGAACTGAACTAGAACTGAACTAGAACTGAACTAGAACTGAACTAGAACTGAACTAGAACTGAACTAGAACTGAACTAGAACTGAACTAGAACTGAACTAGAACTGAACTAGAACTGAACTAGAACTGAACTAGAACTGAACTAGAACTGAACTAGAACTTAACTAGAACTGAACTAGAACTAAACTAGAACTAAACTAGAACTGAACTAGAACTGAACTAGAACTGAACTAGAACTGAACTAGAACTGAACTAGAACTGAACTAGAACTGAACTAGAACTGAACTAGAACTGAACTAGAACTGAACTAGAACTGAACTAGAACTGAACTAGAACTGAACTAGAACTGAACTAGAACTGAACTAGAACTGAACTAGAACTGAACTAGAACTGAACTAGAACTGAACTAGAACTGAACTAGAACTGAACTAGAACTGAACTAGAACTGAACTAGAACTGAACTAGAACTGAACTAGAACTGAACTAGAACTGAACTAGAACTGAACTAGAACTGAACTAGAACTGAACTAGAACTGAACTAGAACTGAACCAGAACTAAACTAGAACTAACTAGAACTGAACTAGAACTGAACTAGAACTGAACTAGAACTGAACTAGAACTGAACTAGAACTGAACTAGAACTGAACTAGAACTGAACTAGACTGAACTAGAACTAGAACTGAACTAGAACTGAACTAGAACTGAACTAGAACTGAACTAGAACTGAACTAGAACTGAACTAGAACTGAACTAGAACTGAACTAGAACTGAACTAGAACTGAACTAGAACTGAACTAGAACTGAACTAGAACTGAACTAGAACTAACAAGAACAGAACTATAACAATAAACAGTTCAGTGTGAAAATTATTAAAATAAATAACATTTGAAGAAGCTAGAGTCTCATACAATTCGTATAGACTACCAACTTTCTTATCATTACATCAATTTCAGTATAAAAATAATCAAAATTAAATTTCAGATTATCTAACATTAAAAAAACACATTTAACTGGTTGGTTAGAGATAAAATACTGAGATAAGAACAATATATTAAAAGCTGAATTTATATAACGCCCACTATAGCTTGGAATAATCGAAAGCCTTGCAAAAAAATCCGAAATCCCTTGAACCCTACACCCGAAATCAAACATTTTTAAATTAATCCAAATTAAATGCAATTTATTAACACAAATAAAGAATAGTATGAAAGAATTATAAATCATTCAAAATTTACAATTCCTTGGCAGTCTTTTCGATCCAACTACGCACAGAAGGAACATCACAGTATACACCAGGATAACCTGAACGAGCACAGCCAGCACCCCAGGAAACAATGCCAACCAATTCGTTGTTGGCCACCAATGGGCCACCAGAATCTCCTTGACAAGCATCCTTATTGACAGCATAAGCACAAACCATGGTTTCCTTAATCTGGCTGCCATATTTGTATTCACTGGAGGCACAGGCCTTCTCATCAACAATATCCACCTGAACTTCTTGCAAAGTCTTGGGCAAGCTGATGCAGGTCAAATAACACTTAGTGCCCCAGCCTGTAACCACAGCGGGAGTACCAGTGGGAGGTGTCTTTTCAGCCAATTTAATATAACGGATTTTGGAAGATTCACGTACAGGCGTAGCCAATTTAATAACAGCAACATCATTAACCATGGTCTTGGAATTGTAACCCTCATGGAATTTGAAGGCCTTAACAGCTACTACCTCTCCGCCAGTATTGTATTCAGTTGTACCCAAACGTACCTTGAATTGGGAAGCGGTATAAGACTGCATGCAATGAGCAGCTGTTACCACAATATCTTCACTAATGATGGAACCACCACAGAAATGGCTGCCCGAGTTGGTTTGCAAAGAAACCTGATAGGGATGAGCTTGAATAGTGGTATCCACACCATTTACTATGCGGCCATCCAATTCATCGGGCAGTGTGCCCGCAAAGGCACAACTAACTAAAGCAAATACAGATACGAAACGCAACATTTTGTCGAAGAGACTACATGGAATGCAACCAAAGAATTGGCATTTATATTCAAAATTCGTGGTGCGCAAAAGAAATCACAACTAAGTGCTTGATATTATCTAAAACATGTTAATACTACAGTGGATCCATTGGCCTACTATTTGTAGTAGTTTTGAAAACTTGTCAAGATAAGACAAATGTATGTGTGAAGAATTTTTACTACTTAAAAAATTCGCTGAATAATTGAGAATTCTTATTTATTTGCAAAATAATAAATCATTTTATATTAATCAATAATCGACCATCAATCATATAAACGGTTTAAATTTTGTCGGTACAACAATTTATAAATAGTTATAGATGTAACTTATCTCAATATTTTTTTGCTCCCATTGATTAGCAATTATTTCTGCAAAATGTAGCCTTCATTTTTGTTACCGAAAGGACTAGATCCATTTAAAATATACCTACTTATAGAATATTCGGAGAAGTGTTCGAATCACATTGTTGATATAATAATCCCTTTTATATAAATTAATCGGTTCTAGATCATTTTTGTTAGTTAATTAGTTAGTTAGTTAGTTAGTCAGTTAGTTAGTTAGTTAGTTAGTTTAGTTAGTTTAGCTTAGTTAGTTTAGTTAGTTAGTTAGGTTAGTTAGTTAGCTTATGTTAGTTAGTGTTAGTTAGTTAGTTAGTTGTTAGTTAGTTAGTTAGTTAGTTAGTTTTATTTAGTTAGTTAGTTTAGTTCTTTAGTTTATATTATTTTATTCGTTTCGTTCGTTCGTTCGTTCGTTCGTTCGTTCGTTCGTTCGTTCGTTCGTTCGTTGTTCGTTTTCGTTCGTTCGTTTCGTTCGTTCGTTTTCGTTTCGTTCGTTCGTTCGTTCGTTCGTTCGTTCGTTCGTTCGTTCGTTCGTTCGTTCGTTCGTTCGTTTCGTTCGTTCGTTTTCGTTTCGTTCGTTCGTTCGTTCGTTCGTCGTTTCGTTCGTTCGTTTCGTTCGTTCGTTCGTTCGTTCGTTCGTTCGTTCGTTCGTTCGTTTCTTCGTTCGTTCGTTCGTTCGTTTCGTTCGTTTCGTTCGTTCGTTCGTTCGTTCGTTCGTTCGTTCGTTCGTTCGTTCGTTCGTTTTTTTCGTTTTCGTTCGTTTCGTTCGTTCGTTCGTTCGTTCGTTCGTTCGTTCGTTCGTTTTCGTTCGTTCTTCGTTCGTTCGTTCGTTCGTTCGTTTTTCGTTCGTTCGTTCGTTCGTTTCGTTCGTTCGTTCGTTCGTTCGTTCGTTCGTTCGTTCGTTCTTCGTTCGTTCGTTCGTTCGTTCGTTCGTTCGTTAGTTCGTTCGTTCGTTCGTTCGTTCGTTTCGTTCGTTCGTTTCGTTCGTTCGTTCGTTCGTTCGTTCGTTCGTTCGTTCGTTAGTTCGTTCGTTTCGTTTCGTTCGTTCGTTCGTTCGTTCGTTCGTTCGTTCGTTCGTTCGTTCGTTCGTTCGTTCGTTCGTTCGTTCGTTTCGTTCCTTCGTTCGTTCGTTCGTTCGTTCGTTCGTCGTTCGTTCGTTCGTTCGTTCGTTTCGTTCGTTCGTTCGTTCGTTCGTTCGTTCGTTCGTTCGTTCGTTCGTTCGTTCGTTCGTTCGTTGTTAGTTCGTTCGTTCGTTCGTTCGTTCGTTCGTTCGTTCGTTCGTTCAGTTTCGTTCGTTCGTTCGTTCGTTCGTTCCGTTCGTTCGTTCGTTCGTTCGTTAGTTCGTTCGTTCGTTCGTTGTTCGTTCGTTCGTTCGTTCGTTCGTTCGTTCGTTTTCGTTCGTTCGTTCGTTCGTTCGTTCGTTCGTTCGTTCGTCGTTCGTTTCGTTCGTTCGTTCGTTCGTTCGTTCGTTCGTTTTCGTTCGTTCGTTCGTTCGTTCGTTTTCGTTCGTTCGTTCGTTCGTTCGTTCGTTCGTTCGTTCGTTCGTTCTTCGTTTCGTTCGTTCGTTCGTTCGTTCGTTCGTTCGTTTTCGTTCGTTCGTTTCGTTCGTTCGTTCGTTCGTTTCGTTCGTTCGTTCGTTTCGTTCGTTTCGTTCGTTCGTTTCCGTTCGTTCGTTCGTTTTCGTTCGTTCGTTCGTTCGTTCGTTCGTTCTTTCGTTCGTTCGTTTCGTTCGTTCGTTCGTTCGTTCGTTTCGTTCGTTCGTTCGTTCGTTCGTTCGTTCGTTCGTTTTCGTTCGTTCTTCGTTCGTTCGTTCGTTCTTTCGTTTTCGTTCGTTCGTTCGTTTCGTTCGTTCGTTTCGTTCGTTCGTTCGTTCGTTCGTTCGTTCGTTCGTTCGTTCGTTTCGTTTCGTTCGTTCGTTCGTTCGTCGTTTCGTTCGTTTCGTTCGTTCGTTTCGTTCGTTCGTTCGTTCTTCGTTCGTTCGTTCGTTCGTTCGTTCGTTCGTTTCGTTCGTTCGTTCGTTCGTTCGTTCGTTCGTTCGTTCTTTCGTTCGTTCGTTCGTTCGTTCGTTCGTTCGTTTCGTTCGTTCGTTCGTTCGTTCGTTCGTTCGTTCGTTCGTTCGTTTCGTTTCGTTCGTTCGTTCGTTCGTTCGTTCGTTCGTTCGTTCGTTCGTTCGTTCGTTGTTTCGTTCGTTCGTTTTCGTTCGTTCTTCGTTCGTTCGTTCGTTCGTTCGTTCGTTCGTTCGTTCGTTTGTTCGTTTTCGTTCGTTCGTTCGTTCGTTCGTTCGTTCGTTCGTTCGTTTCGTTTCGTTCGTTCGTTCGTTCGTTCGTTCGTTCGTTTCGTTCGTTCGTTCGTTCGTTTCGTTCGTTCGTTCGTTCGTTCGTTCGTTCGTTCGTTCGTTCTTCTCTCGTTTCCGTTCGTCTCGTTCGTTTCGTCCCCCTGTCTTCTCGGTTTTCCTCCCTCCTCTTTCCCCGTCTTTCTCTCTCCTTTCCCCTCTTCCTCCTCTCCTCCCCTCTTCCTCCTCCTGATTTCCTTCTCTCCTATTCCTATTTGCCATCGTCTCCTAGCTAGACAAAATGTAGACTAGACAGTGCGTATTTCTTATCACTCTAGAGCAGACTATATTACTTACAAACAATAGTTTGTGATTATACAATTTAACAACAACAATTAATTTCTAGAACTTAATTCTTTTTTAAGTAATTTTATCAATGAAATTTGCGAAAAAGTCAATACAATTGTACAAACATATCGACTTCTTTTTATGTCGATCATATTTGTAGAGATATGATCATGGTAGACTACAAAACTATACTACTATTAACAAAGTTAGTAAAACTCTAATATATAGTTTTATTTAATTCAGAGTGAAAAGCTTTCCAATAACTATTTCAGATTCAAAATATTGGCCCGAAATAATGCATAATACATATAAATGCATCAATAGGGAATGTAGGTGATCCCTATAAATACCTAATATCTATCTATGCATCCAAAAATAATACCAGATGTACAGTTACTTAAAAATTTCCTTCAAACACGCCTTATGTCAAAAACCTATCTATCTAAATCTTATCGAAATTGTATTAGTGAATGTTTTTTGATTTCTTTAAAAATAGACGCGTGCTCTAACTTTACTTTGCGTCATTAATTATTTATTTTGTTTATCTATAATCTATTTATTTATACTAAATAATACGTACTTATAAAAATTTATTTAAAAAAATTTGTTTTGATTAATTTTTTTTTATACCTTTAGATACTCGAAACTTATCTATTGTTTTATAAACAAAAAGATATTTTTTTGCAAAGCGAAATTGAGCGAAAAAGGAGGAAAAACCCAAAAGTGATTGACATTTAGAAGTGTCATACTTAGTCGTTGTTTTTAGTTTAAGTTTAAATTAAATGTATTAATTTTATAATTAAAAACACACGCATGTTTTAGGAATAAAACTAAATATTATTTTAATTTTTAATCCAAAAATATTACTATCTCAATCAAATGAAGTGTTTAGTTTAATCTAGTGTAAATAAAAAGTTGTGAGGTACTAAAAGAAAGAGAGAGAGAGAGAGTAAGTGATCTACATTTAATCTGCATTAAATTGTAATCAAGTACATTTAATTAATAATTATAATTAATAATTTTTTAGATAAAAATATTAAAATTTCTTTATAGTTCCAGAAGAACTTTCAGAGAATAGAACGATCAATATATGCCATCACAATATTTGAGAATATGTTCCATCAAAATAAAGCTCTCTCTCCGGCAATCGAATTTTTCATTTAAGATCTATTGTGATTACGATCCTGATTAATTAAATACTAAGATGACTCAATATTCAAGCATATTTTACAAAACAAACTTTTCTATATTTGTAACAATTGTTTCTCTCAGTGCATTTAACTAATCAGAATAATGCATTTTGTAAAATAATTTTGCACTCTAAGGCCTTAAAATTTAACAAAAAACACGTTAAAATGTTTCTACTGATATAGTAATATCTATATCAAATTGTTAACAAAAGAAGAATACCCTCGGACGTTCCCACCACTAGAGCTATACTGGACATATCTAATAAATATTTACATAGACAAGGGCTTTAAGCAAATATATACTAAGAAATGCACTTTTTGAAATACTAAAATTTCCGATATAAATACTGGCGTTAATAGGTACTTCACATCAAATCGTGTTCATTCAACAACATGTTAAAGTTTGTAATTCTATTGTCAGCTGTTGCCTGCGCTTTGGGTGCTGCTGTGCCTGAAGGTATGCTGCCTCAATTGGATGGTCGTATTGTGGGTGGTGTGGCCACCACTATTAGCGATTACCCCTGGCAAATTTCCCTCCAACGTTCCGGTTCACACTCTTGCGGTGGCTCCATCTATAGCTCTAACATTATTGTCACAGCTGCTCACTGCTTGCAATCCGTTTCTGCTTCCGTCTTGAAGGTACGTGCTGGTTCCACCTACTGGAATAGTGGCGGTGTTTTGGTTAGTGTTGCTGCTTTCAAGAATCATGAAGGTTACAACTCCCGCACCATGGTCAACGATATTGCTGTCATCAAATTGGCCTCTTCCTTGACCACCAGTTCGAACATTAAGGCCATCGCTTTGGCTTCTACTGCTCCCGCAAATGGTGCTGCTGCTGTAGTTTCTGGTTGGGGTACTACTTCATATGGTGGTTCCTCTTTACCCACCCAATTGAGAGCCGTTGATGTTACCATTGTCAGCACCAGTTCCTGCGCTTCTTCCACTTATGGTTATGGTTCGGAAATTAAGTCCAGCATGATCTGTGCCTACACTGTAGGCAAAGATGCTTGCCAAGGTGATTCTGGTGGCCCCTTGGTTTCCGGTGGTCAATTGGTTGGTGTTGTTTCTTGGGGTTATGGTTGCGCTTATGCCAACTATCCAGGTGTCTATGCAGATGTTGCTGTTCTCCGCAGCTGGGTTGTCAATACCGCTAATTCGATTTAAAATGTTTTTCTCAAACGATATATAAATAAACTTGTGGAAATTCTAACAATATATCATTTTGTTTGAATTTATAATTATTTTTTTAACGTATAATGTAGTAGTTCTAGTTTGACCGAAGGTCATGGGTTCGAATCCTAACTAACTAACTAACTAACTAACTAACTAACTAACTAACTAACTAACTAACTAAGTAACTAACTAACTAACTAACTAACTAACTAACTAACTAACTAACTAACTAACTAACTAACTAACTAACTAACTAACTAACTAACTACTAACTAACTAACTAACTAACTAACTAACTAACTAACTAACTAACTAACTACTAACTAACTAACTAACTAACTAACTAACTAACTAACTAACTAACTAACTAACTAACTAACTAACTAACTAACTAACTAACTAACTAACTAACTAACTAACTAACTAACTAACTACTAACTAACTAACTAACTAACTAACTAACTAACTAACTAACTAACTAACTAACTAACTAACTAACTAACTAACTAACTAACTAACTAACTAACTAACTAACTAACTAACTAACTAACTAACTAACTAACTAACTAACTACTAACTAACTAACTAACTAACTACTAACTAACTAACTAACTAACTAACTAACTAACTAACTAACTAACTAACTAACTAACTAACTAACTAACTACTAACTAACTAACTAACTAACTAACTAACTAACTAACTAACTAACTAACTAACTAACTAACTAACTAACTACTAACTAACTAACTAACTAACTAACTAACTAACTAACTAACTAACTAACTAACTAACTAACTAACTAACTAACTAACTAACTAACTAACTAACTAACTAACTAACTACTACTAACTAACTACTAACTAACTAACTAACTAACTAACTAACTAACTAACTAACTAACTAACTAACTAACTAACTAACTAACTAACTACTAACTAACTAACTAACTAACTAACTACTAACTACTAACTACTAACTAACTAACTAACTAACTAACTAACTAACTAACTACTACTAACTAACTAACTAACTAACTAACTAACTAACTAACTAACTAACTAACTAACTAACTAACTAACTAACTAACTAACTAACTAACTAACTAACTAACTAACTACTAACTAACTAACTAACTAACTAACTAACTAACTAACTAACTAACTAACTAACTAACTAACTAACTAACTAACTAACTAACTAACTAACTAACTAACTAACTAACTAACTAACTAACTAACTAACTAACTAACTAACTAACTAACTAACTAACTAACTAACTAACTAACTAACTAACTAACTAACTAACTAACTAACTAACTAACTAACTAACTAACTAACTAACTAACTAACTAACTAACTAACTAACTAACTAACTAACTAACTAACTAACTAACTAACTAACTAACTAACTAACTAACTAACTAACTAACTAACTAACTAACTAACTAACTAACTAACTAACTAACTAACTAACTAACTAACTAACTAACTAACTAACTAACTAACTAACTAACTAACTAACTAACTAACTAACTAACTAACTAACTAACTAACTAACTAACTAACTAACTAACTAACTAACTAACTAACTAACTAACTAACTAACTAACTACTAACTAACTAACTAACTAACTAACTAACTAACTAACTAACTAACTAACTAACTAACTAACTAACTAACTAACTAACTAACTACTAACTAACTAACTAACTAACTAACTAACTAACTAACTAACTAACTAACTAACTAACTAACTAACTAACTAACTAACTAACTAACTAACTAACTAACTAACTAACTACTAACTAACTTAACTAACTAACTAACTAACTAACTAACTAACTAACTACTAACTAACTAACTAACTAACTAACTAACTAACTAACTAACTAACTAACTAACTAACTAACTAACTAACTAACTAACTAACTAACTAACTAACTAACTAACTAACTAACTAACTAACTAACTAACTAACTAACTAACTAACTAACTAACTAACTAACTAACTAACTAACTAACTAACTAACTAACTAACTAACTAACTAACTAACTAACTAACTACTAACTAACTAACTAACTAACTACTAACTAACTAACTAACTAACTAACTAACTAACTAACTACTAACTAACTAACTAACTAACTAACTAACTAACTAACTAACTAACTAACTAACTAACTAACTAACTAACTAACTAACTAACTAACTAACTAACTGCAGAGTCTATAGCATTACTGCAAACTCCTTATTGGGCTGTTGTGACTGTGGGATAGGAGATTTCAAGCAATAATGTACCAACATTATTATTAGCGAAATCCTCTAAAGTTTTCGAAATTAAAAACAGACCATTTCGTCTGTATTGCAAAATTAATATGTAATAAAGTTTTCGTTATATATTTTCATTTATTTTTTTATATCGTGAAAACATTTAGATAGTTGAAGCTGTGTTTTCAACCCAGCTGCGGAGTACAGCAACATCGGCATAGACACCGGGATAGGAAGCGTAAGCGCAGCCATAGCCCCAAGAGACAACACCAACCAAAACACCGCCGGAGACCAATGGACCACCAGAATCACCTTGGCAAGAGTCCTTTCCGATAGCGCTGGCGCAAAGCATGGTAAGTTTGATTTGAGAGCCGTAACCGTAAGCGGCAGAAGTGCAAACGGCAGCGCTGATTATTTGAACATCGACGTATCTCAATTCAGCAGGAAGACCATTGTAACTAGAGCCAACAGAGGTGGTACCCCAACCAGAAACAGTTGCAGCAGCACCAGTAGGAGGAGCCACAGTAGCCAAGCTAATAGGCCGGATGGTAGAGGACATGGTCAAGGAAGACTCCAAACGGATGACAGCAATATCGTTAGCAAAGGTGTAAGGATCGAAATTTTCATTGTTCTTGAAAGCAGCAACCTTAACCAAAACACCACCATTACTCCAGAAGGTTGAACCAGCGCGAACCTTTAAGATTGAGGCGGTAACCGATTGCAAGCAGTGAGCAGCAGTCACTATGATGTTAGAGCTGTAAATGGAACCACCACAAGCGTGAGAACCGGAACGTTGAAGAGAGACTTGCCAGGGGAAGTTGCTGATGGTGGTAACTTCACCGCCTATAATGCGACCATCCAATTGGGGCAGCATACCCTCTGGCACAGCAGCACCCAAAGCGCAAGCAATGGCCGACAACAAAATCACAAACTTCAACATACTAAAGAGTTAGTAAACTATATTGATTCTCCGAAATTTTTCAACTTATATAGCAAAAAAAAAAAAATAAAAGAAAATTACTTTATTTCTAATCCTTATGATAAGATTATTAAAATTTTAAGCAATAATATACAAATTTAAGTTCTGCAGAGTACTATATCCGGCCGTTCCAATATTCTCTATCCAAAATGTGATACTTTTAAAACTCAACTTTAAGGGTCTACGACCAATATCTCTAAAATATGCAAGTGAAATAACCTTATCATATACAAGCCATCTGGAGCAAACCACTTTTGGATCGATTAGAATTGAAGTGTCTCAGAATCAAATTATAATTCCCTAAATATTTGTATTATAGGATTGGACAGAATAAACCGAATCAAAAACGACCATTTACTGAAGTCTTGCTGTCTGAATAAAGTTTCTTTTATCATCTTTAGCTAAATCTTTCAAAACGGTATAATCTGATCTAAAGTTCTTAAAGAATGTTTGAAAATGTTTATTTACCTTTTAAAAAGTTTTGTTTTTAAGTCACTTCAGTTCTAATCGCTTCAAAATAAAGCAATAGATTAACCTATATTAACGTGAGATCACTTTTTTCTGATTTGCCAAACATTTATTATTGTTTTAATTAAAACTTTTAATAATCTTATCACTTGAGATAGAAAGTAAGTGGATTTCCTTTTTTTGCTATATAAACTCCGAAATTGTGAGGAATTAGTATAGTTTACTAATTTCTTTTAGTATGTTGAAGTTTGTGATTTTATTGTCGGCCATAGCTTGCGCTTTGGGTGCTGCCGTTCCCGAGGGTATGCTTCCTCAATTGGATGGACGCATTGTCGGCGGTGAAGCTACCACCATCAGCAACTTCCCCTGGCAAATCTCCCTTCAACGTTCTGGCTCTCACTCTTGCGGTGGTTCCATCTACAGTTCTAACATCATTGTGACTGCTGCTCACTGCTTGCAATCCGTGTCCACCTCTGTCTTGAAGGTACGTGCTGGTTCTTCCTACTGGAACTCCGGTGGTGTTGTTGTCAGTGTTGCCGCTTTCAAGAACCACGAAGGTTACAGCTCACGCACCATGGTCAACGATATTGCTGTCATCCGTTTGGCCTCTTCCTTGACTATGTCCTCCTCCATCAAACCCATTAGCTTGGCTACTGTTGCTCCTCCTACTGGTGCTGCTGCTGTAGTATCTGGTTGGGGTACCACCTCTTCTGGCGCCTATGGCATTCCCTCTCAATTGAGATATGTCGATGTTCAAATGCTCAGCACCTCCGCTTGTGCTTCCTCCACGTACGGTTATGGCTCTGAAATCCAACCCACCATGATCTGCGCCTACACTGTCGGTAAAGATGCTTGCCAAGGTGACTCCGGTGGCCCATTGGTTTCTGGTGGTCTTTTGGTTGGTGTTGTCTCTTGGGGTTATGGTTGCGCCTTCACCAACTACCCTGGTGTCTATGCTGATGTTGCCGTTCTCCGCAGCTGGGTTGTAAAGACTGCTTCAACTATCTAAATGTTTTTCGAGTTTAATAAAAAATTGTTTACGATCACCTAATAATTTGTGTATTTATTACTTCTATATTTTTGGTTAAGAAAATTGTTCGGAATCTGGACAAGTTTTCCGATACTGAATAAGTTTTCGTTATTCTGAACAAGTCTTCGTTAAGAAAGTTGTTCAGATTGTGAATAAGTTTTCGTTAAGAAAATTATATAAAATCGGAACAAATCTCCGTTATGAAAATTGTTCTGAATATAAACAAGTTTTAGTTAGAAAATTGTTCAGAATCTAATAAAGTTTAAGTTAAGAATATCGTTCAGATTATGAACAAGTTTTTGTTAAGAATATTGTTCCAATTGTGAAAAAGTTATCGTTAAGAAAACTGTTCAGAATGTGAACAAGTTTTAGTTAAGAAAACTTTTCAGAATGTGAACAAGACTTCGTTAAGAAAATTGTTCAGAATGTGAACATTGTTTCTTTAAAAAACTTGCTCAAAATCTGAACAATATTTCCTTCAGAACCATAAGTGGAAGAAGCGCAAGAAGTGGTGCTAACAATTGTAACATCAACGGCTCTTAATTGGGAGGGAAGAGAAGAAGAACCAGATACAGTAGTACCCCAACCAGAAACTACAGCAGCAGCGCCATTAGCAGGAGCAGTAGAAGCTAAACTGATGGCCTTAATATTAGAGCTGAAGGTCAATGAAGAGGCCAATTTGATGACAGCAATATCGTTAACAAAGGTGCGAGCATTGTAGCCTTGATGATTCTTGAACTTGGTTACACTAATCAAAATACCACCACTATTCCAGTCGGTGGAACCAGCACGTACCTTTAAGGCATTAGCAGGAACAGATTGCAAGCAATGAGCAGCAGTTACTATAATATTAGCACTGTAAATGGAGCCACCAATTGAGGCACCATACCCTCAGGTACGGCGGCACCTAAAGCGCAAGCAACAGCGCACAATAGAATTACAAACTTTAACATTTTAAATGAAAGTCTTTTGAAAATTGCGGTCTTATTTATGTAAATTCCAAAAGTATGATTCTTAAATATTATACTTTATATTAAACTTTTTATATCTCTAGTGGTTAGAACTTCAGAAGCGTGTTTTCAACAAGTGTAAAGAATTCATATCTAAAACATCATTTTAACCATTTCAAAATTGAAGATATATTTCCTGTTTTAATAAAATTCCTCCAGTAAGTGACGTCACCTTAGAAATCGCATTAAATGTTTTGTTTTTAATACACTCCAGTTCTAATCGATCTAAAATAAAGCATTAGATTAACCTATATTGACATGAGATCACTTTTTTTTATTATGCTAAACTTTTATTATTTTAATTAAAATTTTTAATAATCTTATCGTAGGAGCTAGAAAGAAAGTGGATTTCTTTTCTATATAATCTGAGTAAGCTCGGGATATTAGTATAGTTTCCTAATTTTCTTTTAAGAATGTTGAAGTTTGTGATTTTATTGTCAGCCGTTGTTTGCGTTTTGGGTGCTACCCTTCCCGAGGGTATGCTGCCACAATTGGATGGTCGCATTGTGGGCGGTGAAGTTACCACCATCAACAACTTTCCCTGGCAAATCTCCCTTCAACGTTCTGGTTCTCATGCTTGTGGTGGTTCCATCTACAGCTCTAACATTATAGTAACTGCTGCTCACTGCTTGCAATCAGTCTCAGCCTCCGTATTGAAAGTTCGCGCTGGTTCCACCTTCTGGAGCCATGGTGGTGTTTTGATTAAGGTTGCTGCTTTCAAGAATCACGAAGGTTACAGTTCACGCACTATGATCAACGATATTGCTGTCATTCGTTTGGACTCCTCCTTGACTATGTCCTCTACTATAAAACCCATAAGCTTGGCTACTGTGGCTCCTCCTACTGGTGCTGCTGCTGTAGTTTCCGGTTGGGGTACCACCCGTTCTGGCGGTTATGGCCTTCCAGCTGAATTGAGATATGTCGATGTTGAAATGCTCAGCACCTCTGCTTGTGCTTCCTCCACTTACGGTTATGGCTCGGATATCCAACCCACTATGATCTGCGCCTACACAGTCGGCAAAGATGCTTGTCAAGGTGACTCTGGTGGCCCATTGGTCTCTGGTGGTCTTTTAGTTGGTGTCGTCTCTTGGGGCTATGGCTGCGCTTTCGCTAACTATCCAGGTGTCTATGCGGATGTTGCAGTACTCCGCAGCTGGGTTGTAAACACAGCTTCAACTATCTAATATATCGAGTTAAATAAAAATATGATTAAGAACTTTTTAATACTTGATTTCTTTTACTTTTTAACATTCCAACAGAATCAGAAACTGGCAGTGTTCAATATAAAACACTGCCATTGGTTGGATTTTGGGAAACTGTCACTTCTACAAAATTCTCTTTAAGACTGAAATACAATAGTATTGAGAAAAAAACTTGCTACTGTCGAATCTAAATATAATTTCCAAGGTCAAAAGTGGTCTTAGATATTAAACTATTACACTGCTTAAAACTGTACCTCAAAGCTACATGGGAAGATTAGAATGAAAACTTTTCATTGAGACCGACAGCCGTTAATCGAGTTTTTAGTATTTGACACTGTTTTGAACCATAACAACTCTCTCATTATAACAGATATTTCCCAAAAATATTCTTAACAAAACACCAAACAACTTTATTTTTTTTTAAATTTCATCTTTATTTAACAAAATTTTTCAAATAGACGCCGCTGTATTAACCACCCATGAACTCAGCTCAAAAACATCAGCGTATACTCCTGGATAATCAGTAAAAGCACAACCATTGCCCCAAGAAACAACACCAACCAAAACACCACCCGACACCAATGGACCACCAGAATCACCTTGGCAAGAATCCTTACCCACAGTATAGGCGCAAATCATGCTAGCTTGGATATAAGAGCCATAATTATAGGCCGTCGAAGCACAAGAGTATCTGCTAACAATCTCCACATCAACAGATCTCAATTCATAGGGAAGTGAAGGAGAACCGTAATAAGTAGTACCCCAACCAGAAACGGCCGCAGCAGCGCCATCAACAGCTGCTTGAGTGGCTAAAGCAATAGGTTTAATGGTGCTCGATATGGTTAAAGAAGAAGCCAATTTGACTACACCTATATCATTAATTAAAGTTGCGCTATTATAATCCTCATGAATTTGGAAATCATCAACAGCTAACACATCACCACCCATATTCCAATAGGTAGAACCAGCACGTACTTTTAAGTTGGTTGCAGAAGCGTACCGCAAGCAGTGGGCTGCTGTAATAATTATATTGGGATTAAGAACAGCACCACCACAAGAATGAGAACCACTACGCTGGAGAGATATTTGCCAGGGAACGCTAGAGATGGTGGTGGGTATACCACCCACTATACGGCCATCTAATTGAGACTGTAGGCCCTTGGGTAGAGTGGCAGACAATGCACCCGTTATGCCAGATAGTAGGATAATAAATTTAAACATTGTTAAAGAAAGAGTATTGAAGAATGACTGAGTTCTTGAGTTTAAAGAAGAACTTTTATAATGAAAAAATATTTGTTACAAGAAACGACTTTCTTTACAAAATTTCAGCAAACTTGATAAGATTATGGATAACCGATATCTTTATATCTTTTGCACGATGCAATTCTTTTGTCATTTTATAAGCAAAACAAAAACTCTTTTTTCATGAAGTCTTGACTATAGACCAATCGATAGTCTTGACAATAGACCAGTCTATAGTGTGGACTATAGATCAGTCTATAGTCTGGACTAAATACCAATCTATAGTCTGGACTACAGACAAGTCTATAGTATGAACTAAGGATCAATCTATAGTGTGATCTATAGACCAGTCTATAGTGTGGACTATATAGTGCAGACTATAGATCAATCTATAGACAGTGTGGACTATAGACCAGACTGTCTGTGTGGACAATATACCGGTCTGTAGTAGGTACTATAACCAGTCTATGTCTAGACTATAGACCAGCAAATAATCTTGATTATAGACCTGTTTATATACAGTCTTGACTATAGACCAGTCTTAAAAGTTATGATTCATTTTCCAGGACCTAGTGAAGGGTGTAACAAATTCTCAAAATGTTTAATGGTTTTCATTTTGTTTAACGTAAACATTGTTACAATGCGTATTAATAAGAAATTATTGATAATCTTATATCTTTTAATTATTTTTTTTTTAAACAAATGAAGGCACAATAATTGCAAAAGATAATAATTATTAAAGAAGATAGAGTTTAAAGTATAACCTCTTACAAATTAAATGAAATTTTATGATAAAAATTATAATTCAAGGAATTTAAATAATTACTAAATTAAAAGAAATTAAATTATCTTTTAAACAGAAGAATAAAGAAATTTTGTAAAACTCACTGATTCAGTATTACGGATGGAAAATTTCATATTCGATCTTCGTTTAATATAAACTTAGATACATATGTTTAATTTTTAACTACAGATTAATTTTTGAAAGAAAAACACTTTTTTTAATCGTTTAATGAAATTAGTATGTATTTTATTTATTAAAAACTTTAAACAGAGCTGGCAGCACTGACAACCCAGGTGCGGAGAGCAGCAACATCAGCATAGACACCAGGGTAGTTAGCGTAGGCGCAACCGTAGCCCCAAGAGACAACACCAACCAAACGGCCACCAGATACCAATGGGCCGCCAGAATCACCTTGGCAAGAGTCCTTACCGACAGTGTAAGCGCAGATCATGCTAGCCTTGATTTGAGAGCCATAGCCGTAAGTGGAGGAAGCGCATTGAGTACGGCCAACAATCTTAAGATCAACATAGCGCAATTGAGCGGGAATGCTACCACCGGAAGAGGTGGTACCCCAACCAGAAACAGTAGCAGCAGCACCGTTAGCGGGAGCAGCGGTAGTCAAAGCAATAGCCTTAATGGTGGAGGACATGGTCAAGGAAGAGCTCAAACGGATGACAGCAATATCGTTAACCATGGTCTTGGGGTTGTAACCTTCGTGGTTCTTGAAAGCAGCAACAGAGACAACAACACCACCAGAGTTCCAGTAGGAAGAACCAGCACGTACCTTCAAGACAGAGGTAGAGACGGATTGCAAGCAATGGGCAGCAGTAACAATGATCTTGGAGTTGTAGACGGAACCACCGCAGGAGTGAGAACCAGAACGTTGGAGGGAAATTTGCCAGGGGAAGTTGCTGATGGTGGTAGCAACACCGCCGACAATACGACCATCCAATTGGGGTACCATACCCTCAGGTACGGCAGCGCCCAAAGCACAGGAAATAGCGCACAATAAAACGACAAACTTCAACATGTTGATTAGTGTATTAACCAACTACTGATGTTTTGAAATTAGTCTCGTACTATTTATACGATTTAGATTTCGAACATTTCATTAAAGATATCCGATTAGATTAATATTTAGTCAAGTATAGGCTGATTAGACTAACTTTCTCACATTTTCGCCATTTCTAATTGAAGTGTTTAGGAGATAATTATTGAAAATAGAAATACAGTAAGTTTTCATTAAGATTAGACCAGAGACATGACTGGTATAATTGTTAATAGACACTTGAAAAGTTTACGATAATTATAAGTGAGATCCAAAAATAAAACACACTTTACACTCAGGGCCCTAACTCCCCCTACAATTGTTTATTTTAGAGACACTTTACGCAATGACTTTCCAGTTTCTTAAATTTTTATGAAAAAAATGCTCAAAAAACTGAGTTCTTTAGGTTTTTCATAGAAAATATGAGTGATCACAGATTTTGTGTATTTTGTCCATTGGAGCGTTATTTAAGGATCTTCAGATCGATTTTTTATAGAAATTAAGTATGCTCATAGATCCTTTGTTTCTAATTTTATAATTAATCACAACCACAACACAATTTTAATATTTAATCAACAGTTTATTCAATTTGAATTTAAACAGAGTTAGCAGCACTGATAACCCAGGAACGGAGAGCAGCAACATCAGCATAGACACCAGGGTAGTTGACAGCGGCGCAACCATAGCCCCAGGAGACAACACCAGCCAAGACACCACCGGAGACCAATGGGCCACCAGAGTCACCTTGGCAAGAGTCCTTGCCGACAGTGTAGGCACAGATCATGCTAGCCTTGATTTCAGAGCCATAACCATAGGCAGAAGAAGCGCATTGAGTGCGGCCAACAATCTTAACGTCAACGTATCTCAATTGAGTAGGAATGCTACCACCCGAAGAGGTAGTACCCCAACCAGACACGGTAGCAGCAGCACCGTTAGCGGGAGCTGAGGAAGCCAAACCTATAGTCTTAATGGTGGAGGATGTAGTCAAGGAAGAGCTCAAACGGATGACAGCAATATCGTTAACCATGGTCCTAGAGTTGTAACCTTCATGACTCTTGAAAGCAGCAACACTGACCAAAACACCACCGGAATTCCAGTAGGAAGAGCCAGCACGTACTTTCAAGACAGAGGCAGACACGGATTGCAAGCAATGGGCAGCAGTAACAATGATCTTGGAGCTGTAGATGGAGCCACCGCAAGAGTGAGAACCTGAACGTTGGAGGGAAATTTGCCAGGGGAAGGACGAGATGGTGGTAGCAGCACCGCCAACAATGCGACCATCCAATTGAGGCAACATACCCTCAGGCACGGCAGCACCCAAAGCACAGGCAACAGCACACAACAATACAACTAACTTTAACATGTTGATTGATCGATATTAACCAACTACTGAAATTTTCTTTGGAAATGAACCCTTTTTATATGAATTTTTAACTTAAAACTATTTAGATTCCTAAATCCCAGTTTTATTTGATAAGAACAAATCTTCAAATTGTCTGCTATTACTGATTGTGATATGTAAGTGTGGACTTATGGGATTTACATTGCACGTTACTTGCAATTTTTCATTAGATTACAACTGTTCCATTGTGTTGCACGCTTGTAATCTACTGAAACACTCAAGAAATTAATAACTTAAATATAGTTGATTGATATATTGATACACTTAAGAAACATATTCATTAAAGAAACGAAATATAGTCTGGCTATATTCATATTTTCTATGAAAAACCTAAAATCGGCTGTAGATCCTTAAATAACGCTCCAATCGACAAAATAAAGAAAATCTGTGATCACTCATATTTTCCATGAAAAATGGATTTTTATATAGAAAAACTAAAAACGGCTTTAGATCCTTAAATAACGCTCCAATCGACAAAATAAAGAAAATCTGTGATCACTCATATATTCCATGAAAAATGGACTTTTATATAGAAAAACTAAAAACGGCTGTAGATCCTTAAATAACGCTCCAATCGACAAAATAAAGAGAATCTGTGATCACTCATATTTTCCATGAAAAATGGAATTTTATATGAAAAAACTAAAAACGGCTGTAGATCCTTAAATAACACTCCAATCGACAAAATAAAGAAAATCTGTGATCACTCATATATTCCATGAAAAATGGACTTTTATATAGAAAAACTAAAAACGGCTGTAGATCCTTAAATAACGCTCCAATCGACAAAATAAAGAAACTCTGTGATCACTCATATATTCCATGAAAAATGGACTTTTATATAGAAAAACTTAAACTTAAACTCCAATCGACAAAATAAAGAAAATCTGTGATCACTCATATTTTCCATGCAAAATGGATTTTTATATAGAAAAACTAAAAACGGCTGCAGTTCCTTAGATAACGCTCCAATCGACAAAATAAAGAAAATCTGTGATCACTCATATTTTCCATGAAAAATGGATTTTTATAAAGAAAAAATGGATTTTTATACTAGAAAAACTAAAATCGGCTGTAGATCCTTAAATAACGCTCCAATCGACAAAATAAAGAAAATCTGTGATCACTCATATATTCCATGAAAAATGGACTTTTATATAGAAAAATTAAAATCGGCTGTAGATCCTTAAATAACGCTCTAATCTACAAAATAAAGAAAATCTGTGATCACTCATATATTCCATGAAAAATGGACTTTTATATAGAAAAACTAAAAACGGCTGTAGATCCTTAAATAACGCTCTAATCGACAAAATAAATAAAATCTGTGATCACTCATATATTCCATGAAAAATGGATTTTTATATAGAAAAACTAAAATCGGCTGTAGATCCTTAAATAACGCTCCAATCGACAAAATAAAGAAAATCTGTGATCACTCATATATTCCATGAAAAATGGACTTTTATATAAAAAAACTAAAAACGGCTGCAGATCCTTAAATAACGCTCCAATCGACAAAATAAAGAAAATCTGTGATCACTCATATTTTCCATGAAAAATGGAATTTTATATAAAAAAACTAAAAACGGTTGTAGATCCTTAAATAACATTCAATCGACAAAATTAAGAAAATCTGTGATCACTCATATATTCCATGAAAAATGGACTTTTATATAGAAAAATTAAAAACGGCTGTAGATCCTTAAATAACGCTCTAATCGACAAAATAAAGAAAATCTGTGATCACTCATATATTCCATGAAAAATGGATTTTTATATAGAAAAACTAAATAACGCTCTAATCGACAAAATAAAGAAAATCTGTGATCACTCATATATTCCATGAAAAATGGACTTTTATATAGAAAAACTAAAAACGGCTGTAGATCCTTAAATAACGCTCCAATCGACAAAATAAAGAAAATCTGTGATCACTCATATTTTCCATGAAAAATGGATCTTTATATAGAAAAACTGAAATCGGCTGCACTTCCTTAAATAACGCTCCAATCGACAAAATAAAGAAAATCTGTGATCACTCATATTTTCCATGAAAAATGGATTTTTATATAGAAAAATTAAAATCGGCTGTAGATCCTTAAATAACGCTCCAATCGACAAAATAAAGAAAATCTGTGATCACTCATATTTTCCATGAAAAATGGATTTTTATATAGAAAAACTAAATAACGCTCTAATCGACAAAATAAAGAAAATCTGTGATCACTCATATATTCCATAAAAAATGGATTTTTATATAGAAAAACTAAAATCGGCTGTAGATCCTTAAATGACGCTCCAATCGACAAAATAAAGAAAATCTGTGATCACTCATATTTTCCATGAAAAATGGATTTTTATATAGAAAAACTAAAATCGGCTGTAGATCCTTAAATAACGCTCCAATCGACAAAATAAAGAAAATCTGTGATCACTCATATATTCCATGAAAAATGGATTTTTATATGAAAAAACTAAAATCGGCTGTAGATCCTTAAATAACGCTCCAATCGACAAAATAAAGAAAATCTGTGATCACTCATATTTTCCATGAAAAATGGATTTTTGTATAGAAAAACTAAAATCGGCTGTAGATCCTTAAATAACGCTCCAATCGACAAAATAAAGAAAATCTGTGATCACTCATATTTTCCATGAAAAATGGATTTTTATATAGAAAAACTGAAATCGGCTGCACTTCCTTAAATAACGCTCCAATCGACAAAATAAAGAAAATCTGTGATCACTCATATATTCCATGAAAAATGGATTTTTATATGAAAAAACTAAAATCGGCTGTAGATCCTTAAATAACGCTCCAATCGACAAAATAAAGAAAATCTGTGATCACTCATATTTTCCATGAAAAATGGATTTTTATATAGAAAAACTAAATAACGCTCTAATCGACAAAATAAAGAAAATCTGTGATCACTCATATATTCCATAAAAAATGGATTTTTATATAGAAAAACTAAAATCGGCTGTAGATCCTTAAATGACGCTCCAATCGACAAAATAAAGAAAATCTGTGTTCACTCATATATTCCATGAAAAATGGATTTTTATATAGAAAAACTAAAAACGGCTGCACTTCCTTAAATAACGCTCCAATCGACAAAATAAAGAAAATCTGTGATCACTCATATATTCCATGAAAAATGGATTTTTATATGAAAAAACTAAAATCGGCTGTAGATCCTTAAATAACGCTCCAATCGACAAAATAAAGAAAATCTGTGATCACTCATATTTTCCATGAAAAATGGATTTTTATATAGAAAAACTAAAATCGGCTGTAGATCCTTAAATAACGCTCCAATCGACAAAATAAAGAAAATCTGTGATCACTCATATTTTCCATGAAAAATGGATTTTTATATAGAAAAACTGAAATCGGCTGCACTTCCTTAAATAACGCTCCAATCGACAAAATAAAGAAAATCTGTGATCACTCATATATTCCATGAAAAATGGATTTTTATATGAAAAAACTAAAATCGGCTGTAGATCCTTAAATAACGCTCCAATCGACAAAATAAAGAAAATCTGTGATCACTCATATTTTCCATGAAAAATGGATTTTTATATAGAAAAACTAAATAACGCTCTAATCGACAAAATAAAGAAAATCTGTGATCACTCATATATTCCATGAAAAATGGACTTTTATATAGAAAAACTAAAAACGGCTGTAGATCCTTAAATAACGCTCCAATCGACAAAATAAAGAAAATCTGTGATCACTCATATTTTCCATGAAAAATGGATCTTTATATAGAAAAACTGAAATCGGCTGCACTTCCTTAAATAACGCTCCAATCGACAAAATAAAGAAAATCTGTGATCACTCATATTTTCCATGAAAAATGGATTTTTATAAAGAAAAAATGGATTTTTATACTAGAAAAACTAAAATCGGCTGTAGATCCTTAAATAACGCTCCAATCGACAAAATAAAGAAAATCTGTGATCACTCATATATTCCATGAAAAATGGACTTTTATATAGAAAAATTAAAATCGGCTGTAGATCCTTAAATAACGCTCTAATCTACAAAATAAAGAAAATCTGTGATCACTCATATATTCCATGAAAAATGGACTTTTATATAGAAAAACTAAAAACGGCTGTAGATCCTTAAATAACGCTCTAATCGACAAAATAAATAAAATCTGTGATCACTCATATATTCCATGAAAAATGGATTTTTATATAGAAAAACTAAAATCGGCTGTAGATCCTTAAATAACGCTCCAATCGACAAAATAAAGAAAATCTGTGATCACTCATATATTCCATGAAAAATGGACTTTTATATAAAAAAACTAAAAACGGCTGCAGATCCTTAAATAACGCTCCAATCGACAAAATAAAGAAAATCTGTGATCACTCATATTTTCCATGAAAAATGGAATTTTATATGAAAAAACTAAAAACGGTTGTAGATCCTTAAATAACATTCAATCGACAAAATTAAGAAAATCTGTGATCACTCATATATTCCATGAAAAATGGACTTTTATATAGAAAAATTAAAAACGGCTGTAGATCCTTAAATAACGCTCTAATCGACAAAATAAAGAAAATCTGTGATCACTCATATATTCCATGAAAAATGGATTTTTATATAGAAAAACTAAATAACGCTCTAATCGACAAAATAAAGAAAATCTGTGATCACTCATATATTCCATGAAAAATGGACTTTTATATAGAAAAACTAAAAACGGCTGTAGATCCTTAAATAACGCTCCAATCGACAAAATAAAGAAAATCTGTGATCACTCATATTTTCCATGAAAAATGGATCTTTATATAGAAAAACTGAAATCGGCTGCACTTCCTTAAATAACGCTCCAATCGACAAAATAAAGAAAATCTGTGATCACTCATATTTTCCATGAAAAATGGATTTTTATATAGAAAAATTAAAATCGGCTGTAGAT